GCTAGCACAGGGGTCGGCAATCCGCGGCTCTGGAGCCGCATGCAGCTCTTCCATCCATCTGATGCGGCTCTCTGTGCTTATAAAATAATGAATGGATATTTAAATAAAATGCTTTATATTTTACTGCATTAATTTTACACCTGTATGCCAATTCTAAATGTAAAGATTATCTGCGTAAACCTGAACAGGTCCAACCCGGTCTGCGGTGGTTGACCAGTCACGCTTGTGCGTAATCATGTCGGCACTTTATGAGCTGAAGAGGATGTGAGATTCTGGGATTCTCCTCAGACGGCTCCTGGATGTGTCGCCGCATTGGAGCCAGGAACAAGCACTATTCAGCCAAAGTTTCATAATCAGGGAACATTTTCTAAGTGACAAGTCTCTCTGAGAGACAGGGTTTGGAAAATACTCGCTTCAGTGGGAGGAATCTTCCCACATGCGCTCTGCATGGTTCTCTGCGTGGCTCTGGGGTTAATCAAGTTTAATCGTTTCTCTTTGCAACAATCTTCACAGGAAGGCAAAACAGTTAAACGGCAGGTTACAGATATTTCCATTTGACTGTTTATTTTGACAGATGAACTCAAGGATGTTGCTTGGTTTGAAAGAATTACCAGACGCACACGGATGCGCATGGATGAGCTGACATTTTAATCGTTAACGCACATCGCGGAGGTAAAATATTCCCATCAGAACATCAGAGCTTTATACTGAACACTGTGTTCAGCGTGGCTCGGAGCGCCCACGGTGGACAGTGAGCTGAAGATCTGGGGTTCGCAGCGCAGTGCAGAACCACGGCGCATGCAATAAGATTTCCTCCCACTGAAACAGTCTGGAAACCCGGTCTCTCTGAGGGATGTGTCACTTGGAAAAATGTTCTTTTTATGAAATTATGAAACTTTGGCTGAACAGCGCTTGTTCCCGTCTCTAATATGGAGACGCATAACGCGTAGAGACATTTGATCACGCACAAAGTTTATGTGGAGCAGAAGCGGTCGGGCCACGTCAGGTGAAACGTTCCTAGCCTACATGAAGTGTAACTGTTTAATTGTAACATTAATATGTTACTGGACACGCTGGTCTGGTTGGTTAGACCAGTGTTTGAAGCGGAAAACACACACACACACACACACACACACACACACACACACACACACACGCACGCACGCACGCACGCACACACACACACACCAATTAAAATAATGCTGATAGCGTGGACTAGAAGACATGTGATGGTTTACGTATTTAAATGATGATCAGGCTGCTGTAAAATGTAATCTCCATCCACATCCAGACAGAATTATCCTCTATTCTTTCTCTATTTGCTCTGCTCTTGTCTGGGCTGATCAGCTGATGGTGCACGCGGCGCGCCTAACTAGCGGCTGATGCACATTTTACGCATTTGGAGAGGTGGACTGGATGCTTTGCATTTACTGGAAGATGGTCCACTTAACGCACGGGTGTAGACTAAATATTAATGACAAATGAATGAAAATTAAATTGTGAGTTTTTACTTCATATTTTATAAATAAAAAGGACGGGGAAACACATTTATGACGTCTTTTTAAACTAAATTTTCTTGCGCGACCTGCCTGCTTCACTTAAGTCACTGCTTATTAAGGTCCGTCCAAAATTACCGTGGGAAACGGGTAATAATGGCTCTTTGATGGGAACAGGTTGCCGACCCCTGGTGAGCTGGTAAAACAAAAATCCTCATCAGCAGGCGTTTTTGAAAGTGGGGGGGACACAGCTGCCAATCACAAATTTTGCCGGGGACATGTCCCCGGCGTCCCCGGTTAAAATGACGCCTATGCTTGACTGTCTTGGACGTTTTTTCACCTGCAGGAGCAAATTTCCTATGTGACATTCCATAATTTTCCAGTTCTTTGTAATAACGAAACTCCACGAGGTGTACTCAGCAGCTCTAAAACAAAGAACTGTGAGCTAAAAAAAAAAAAAAAAAACTATGAACGGTTCCAGGTGAACATCCCAAGTTGAGCTGAGATTCCACCTGATTTTGGTGGCTAACCTCTGCGACCTAAGGCTCTCCTATTCCCACTATGTGGAAGAAAACCCATCTCCACGTCCATCTGCTGCACCTAAAGGATCTTCTGACATCCTTTAACTCTGCAGTCAGAGACGCAAGGGTTTTCTATTTCTCCAACCTGGTGTCCCAGAGCAAAGGGAACCCCAAGGTGCTGTTTACCACCATCAGCAGCATCGTCTCTCCTGCCTCTCCTACAGCCTCCATCCACTCTGTTACAGACTGTGAGAACTTTCTGTATTTCTTTGTGGAAAAAGTCAATAAGGTTAGATCTAGCATCTCTCCTTCAGCCTTATCGCTGCCTCTCCCGACTCCTACCAGGCCCATCATCCTAGATAGCTTTGCTCCTGTTTCTTTGCCTGAGTTAACCAAACTAGTTAACTCTATGAAGACCTCTGCATGCCCCCTCCGCATCTTACCCTCATCTTTGTTTAAAAGTGCTTTCCAGTCCATCGGTCCCATCGTGCTCTCTATAATTAATGCTTCTCTGGTTTTTGGTCAGGTCCCTGCTTACTTTAAGAATGCTGTTATTCACCCGCTTCTTAAAAAACCGAGTCTCGACCCCTCTCTCCATAGTAGCTTCAGACCCATCTCTAAACTTCCGTTCATCTCCAAGATCTTGGAAAAGGTTGTGGCTAAACAACTCACAGCTGCTCTTGATGAACATAACATCTATGATAGCTTCCAGTCAGGTTTTCATAGAGCTCATTCTACTGAAACAGCTCTTCTTAGAGTCTCTAATGACCTTCTGACTCACAGTGATGCATGGGGGCTGTTCTGTTCTGGTCCTGCTGGACCTGACTGCAGCCTTTGACACTGTTGACCATCACCTGCTACTGGAGAGGCTGAGAGACTGGGTAGGCCTATCAGGATCTGCTCTGGAGTGGTTCTCCTCTTATCTTTCTGAGCGCTCTTTTTCTGTGGCCGTCTCCAAGTTTAGGTCCTCCACCACCTCTCTTACCCATGGTGTCCCACAAGGTTCTGTGCTGGGGCCTCTGCTCTTCCTCCTCTATCTGCTTCCTCTTCAGCACATCCTGAGCTCCTTCAAAGGAATCTCCTACCATCTTTATGCAGATGACATCCAACTGTACATCTCCTTTAAGCCCCATGAGATGTCTAAGCTGCAGCTGTTACACACCTGCTTAGACTCTATCAAAACCTGGATGGCTGGGAGCTTTCTACAGCTGAATGAAGATAAGACTGAGATCCTCATCTGTGCCCCAGACAAGCTGGTTCCCAAAGTCAGAGACTCTCTTGGTCAGCTTGCTTCCCACACCAAACCTTCTGTCAGGAATCTTGGCGTGACCTTTGACCCAGCTCCCTTTGACCCAGCTCTCACCCTGGATTCTCATGTCAGTTCTCTTGTTCGCTCTTCCTTCTTCCATCTCAGGAACATTGCTAAGCTGAGTCCCATTCTGTCTCGTTCTGAACTTGAGACAGTTATCCACACCTTCATCTCCTCACGCTTAGACTACTGTAACTCTCTTTTCACGTGTCTGAGCAGAACCTCCCTGAACCGTCTACAGGTGGTTCAGAATGCCTGTGCTCGGCTTCTGACCAAGTCCGCCAAACACTCCCACATCACCCCGCTTCTCCTCCAGCTTCACTGGCTGCCAGTCAACTTCAGGGTTCATTTCAAGATCCTGGTTCTGGTCTATAGGGCCTTACATGGACAAGCACCATCTTACATTGGTGATCTTCTTAGTCCCTACACCCCCAGGAGGTCCCTGAGGTCCAGTGATCAAAGCCTACTGGTTGTGCAGCACCAGGCTAAAGACCAAAGGTGACAGATCATCTGCTGCTGTGGCCCCCAGACTCTGGAACTCTCTCCCCCTGAGCCTGAGATCAGTGGACTCAGTGGTCTCCTTTAAAAAGCAGCTGAAGACTCACTTGTTCAAGCTGGCTTTTGTATGACCTTCTTCACCACTCTCTCTTTATTCTGCTCTCCCCACCTATTCCACCTTCCACAGGATCCACTGATTTCCCTCTTTCCTATTCACTCTCTCTCTCTTTCTTAACATTTTTTCTTTTAAATCCCAATTGCCTATTTTTGCTCATTTTAAATCTTCCTGTCAGACTGGTGGGGTGGTGCCCTAGCGCCCCCTATGGACGAGCCGTTTTAGTAGCTTTTACCTCATTCGCTGCCAGCCGTTTCCTGATTGGTAAAGCCCTTCACTGCCAGCATTTCTCACCATTTTTACTGTTTTTTTTTAATTGTCACAGAACGTTGCGTGCTAGGATGATGTCGACATCAAAACAACCAGAACAAAGTGTAGACTCACCTCTTACATCAGGAAGAATCCGCATGTTTCGAGCTTTATCCGTTCTTTTATAATCCATTGTCGAATTGTGATCGGCAGAAGCTTTTCCGGTTCGCGCCTCACCTTTTTTTACAGCAGCGGCCCAAAACGATCTCCTAACACATGGATTTTCTTCTTCCTGATCACGTGACGTGTGACATATGTGGATGAAGATCAGCTTTAGAGATGAGATGTTTGTTCCCACTGTGCGGGGGCTCGTTCCGACGCCCACACGGTTGGATTTAACATGACAACGTTAGCCGTCAATGGCAGTGAATGAGTTAACAAATAATGTTATTGAGAATGAAAAAAATGCAAAATCCCTGGCGATGGGCCATTGGAGACCTTTAATTAAAAGTTTCTGTATAGCTGAATACATGCTGCAGAAAAAAAACTGTTAAATGTACTGTTTTTGCAAGGTGTGTATGGGTTCTTTTGAGCACTTTGTTGGAGAAGGGCCTTTTGTGATGACATTTGTGAACTAGACAAGATATTGTGGTTGAAATCATTACAAAGGATGACGTTTTTTTAAGACAGTTGTACGAACACTGGTTGACTAATCTGTATCCTGTGAAACTTTACTGGGAGACATGAAAAATGTCTTGAATCATGTCTGTTAACTTAGTTTGTGGTTTTCTTCTAATTCCCCTGTCCTTTAGGAGGCCCTGATCATGGCCAGCATGGAGCACCCCCACCTGGTGCGTCTTCTGGGCGTCTGCCTCAGTCCCACCATCCAGCTAGTCACTCAGCTCATGCCCCATGGCTGCCTGCTCGACTACGTGCATGAGCACAAGGACAACATCGGTTCACAGCTGCTACTCAACTGGTGTGTCCAAATTGCAAAGGTAAGCCACTGTAATCAGGTCAAACCAGAATCAGCTCTGTGTACGTGTTAGAGGATTTTCTTAGAGATTATATAGATTTGTCTACAGATCTGCTAGATTCCGGACTAATGGCAACTCAGTAGTGTGGTCATGGCAAGGAATCCTTGAAAACATCTCTGACTAGAAATTCTTTCAAGGGATTCAAGAAATGTACAACAAATGTTTGGTGTTTTCTCCAATGCAAACAAAATATGTCCTTAGAAATGTGTACTTTTGTTTTCTAAAAATGCATTTGCATTTTGTTTGCAAATGAAGTTGATGTTGCCAGATTGCCTGATAATGCAAGTTGTGAATTTAAACTCGGGGAAGGCAGTAGGGTGCTAGGTTGCTATTACACGCTGTGCAGGCAGACATCTGCTTGATGCAGAGGCATCATCCATTGGTTCAGCTGTTTGTAGCAACAAAGGATGAAGTGACAGAATTAAGTCCCATCAAATTACAAAATATGTCATAATGAATGCTTTTGATTGCATAATCAAGCTAATGTAGGGTTTTGTAACATAATGAGAGATGCCAACAGATGGGCGATGATGTTTTTGTCTATAGTTAGCAAAGCATCTTATGAATCACTGGACAACTTTTAATTAAGCCTTCAGAAAAATAATTAACACATCCACAACAAACCTGAATAGTCACTACAGCCAACTGACCATAGAAACACAAAATTAGTTTTACAGATATTAGGAAATTACTTGGTGTTTCAATGGCTTAGACCAGGGGTGTCAAACTCAGTTTTGCTCAGGGGCCACATTGAGGAAAATCTAGTCCCTAGTGGGCCAGACCAGTAAAATTAAAGTATGTATAAATTAAAAACTGCTTCAGATTGTTTTCTTTGTTTTAATACAATCAACATAAAACAAAGCTGGTCCCTGAGGACAGTGTATCCAAAATAGTGTAAGCACAACATCACCATTAATAATAAAACATCTGAAGTGTATTTCAAAATGTGAAATCCAAAACAAAAAACCGAGACTATTCCTCAGTAATTCAAATAACTGATTCACAGATCACATGGCTATATCAGTTTCATGCATGTCTTTGACTCCTGATACCTGACATATTTCACCAGTAGTTTAATTGAAAAATGAAACCTTATTTTCAGACTTTACATTGTAAAGTCTGAAAATAAGGTTTACACATTCATCTCGCGGGCCAGATTTAACCTGTATGCGGGCCTGATCCGGCCCGTGGGCCGCACATTTGACACCCCTGGCTTAGACACTCCAGCTTCTACACTTTCCATGAAACCTTTGTATTGGCAATAATTGTAGGTGTCAACTCTAAAAAAACCTGTAGTAAATAACCCCTGGATGCTTGCCTTAAAGTGATTAACTTTTGGAATCATCCTGATTCAAGATGGTGGCTGTTTGTGTGAGATCTTTTGATTTTGTGTAAAAGCACTTGTCCCCTGACATTCATTATTTGTAACAACACAATCATCATTTCAGTTTAATCTGGCAGCTTCGGATTTGCATTTGTTCTAGACATACTACAGATAGAAAATGTCACTTTCTCAGTGGCCTAGTGGTAGAGTGTCCACCCTGCGACTTGGAGATGGGGTTCTAATGTGGTCGGGTCGTACCAAAGGCCTTTAAAAAAATGGGACCCAAAGCCTTACTGCCTGACACTCAGCTCTGAGCGGTGGGATTGGTGGTTGAACCACCAAATAGTTCCTGAGCACCGCCACAGCTGCAGCTCACTACAGGGATGGGTCAAATGAGGATATTAATTTTACCAGTACGTGATGACTAAGGGGACTTTAACTCTTGACTTTAATTGTTACTGATCTTAATCAAAATACGTGCTAGAAACAAACTTTTGACTGCTCTTGTAACACTAGGACAATTCAAATGGAATGTTTTTCAGGTAGATGCATGTATTGTTGTTTCTAAATGGAATTTCATAAAGAATGGTTATAGGGATGAGCCGGATTCTCGTTTCAGACGAGTATCCGGTATGGATAAACCCGTAAATATCTGTAATCGTGCTGAAGGAAAATCCTCATTGGGTAACTGACTGTCTTCATGCTTTGTGATTGGCCAGTCACATAGAGCGCCTGCCCCTCCCTACACACAAAACTCTGCAGCTGGGAGCTCTGTCCGTCCGGCCCATCCACGCACACACAGACAGTAAAGCCTGAGTCATGCTTCTCCGTCTGCATCAGTGCGGAGACACGCAACGCCATTATCCATCCTTGCGTAGGGCCCCGGCAGGCACACAAGTACATACGGAGTTGAGCCCACTTTTATAAACATCCGTCAAACGAGATGGAGAATGCAAGCTTGTGATTGGTGAGGACGCCGCTGTTGTCTACTCTGCTGCCATTGTGCCCTCAAAAACATAAAAAGAGCCGAGGATGACTAGCAGCAGACACAGAGAAGCTTGAAGAGCACATCGCGAAAATACTCTAAAATATGAATGTTTAATTCCCCTGTGACTGGAGGAGTGAAAAGATTTGCAGCAAGTGTTTAATTGTGGACGGAAATGAGAGGAAATGTGGGTTTAGAGGTGGCGAGCGCATGAAGAGGTGGAGGAGGATGCGAGACAACTTTGCCTGTGTTAAAAAGTCTCTTATATAAAAAAACACAATATTAACACACTATCTTGGACCTGATACATGACAGGATACCACAGAACAGCGCTATGCCCTCTGTTGTCCTGGCGGGGAATTGCTTTGCAATGCTCCCCAGGAGACGGAGAAGTATGAGAGCAAAACGCTTCCTTCAATCCGTGCATGTCTGTCCCTTGCAGAGCTGACGGAGAAGCATGAATCAGCCTTTACGGATCGCTCTGAGCTTGCTTCACTGTTACTTACTGTACGTGTCTTCAGTACTCCCTAGGTTTTCTTCAGCTCGCCTCTTTTTAAGGTAACTTTTTTCGTAACGAACGTGGTGCATTTGACAGGACAGAGCTGAAAACGGCTCGTGCTGCGTCAGTCACTGCCTCCGCTCTGGTCGGGTCTCTCTCTCTCTCTCTCTCTCTCTCTCTCTCTCTCTCTCTCTCTCTCTCTCTCTCTCTCTCTCTCTCTCTCTCTCTCTCTCTCTCTCTCTCTCTCTCTCTCTCTCTCTCTCTCTCTCTCTCTCTCTCTCTCTCTCTCTCTCTCTCTCTCTGTATGTATGTATTAATTCATGCACTTAAATATTAGTGTTCTGATTTTATTGAAAAACTTGTTCTGTAATAGTTCCTTTACTATTGTGATCAAAAATAATTAATCTCAATTCTGAGGCTGCTCTGTAAATAGTTTTCAAATAAACGATACACATAGCAACTTCTGATCAATCCATATCAATTTCAGACTTAAAATAATGTATTGATGTAAATCACACCCACTTCCGGTAAAACCACACCGACTTCTGGGTTAGGTCACGCCCACTCCCAGTACAGATACAGATAGTGGTGTACTCGCTCATCCCTAGTTGTATAGTAGGGATGTGAATCTTAGAGCAACTCACGATTTGATTCGATCCCAACTCTCGGGGTGCCGATTCGATTCAGAATTGATTCTTGATTTAAATCGATTCACAATCAATATTAACAAAGAGTGTCAGTTCCAGGATTAACTACTTCTGTGTACAAGTTAGTTAAAGCTATGGGAAATTTGTATTTTACTTTAAACTGGTTATGCTCAAAAAAAGCTAATTTACATGGTAAAATGAAGTGATTCTAAAGCTGTAAACAGAAGCAATCTTTTGCCCAAAAGGCAACATTTATTTTTGATTACCTTGTAAAATATAACTAATCTTTAGTTACCTAACAGTAGTTTTGAAAGTAATACTGTCAAATACTTTTCAAGTATGTGTGGAAGCAAGTTTAACATTTGAGTCCTCAACCTGTTTTTAAAAAAAGTGCCTCAATGTCTTACAAAGGAAAATGTTTTCTCTCATTTATCAATAACTTTAAATAAATACATGAGTAATCCTGAGTATTCACTTATCAACTTAGAAAATAAATATGAGAAAATCTCAAATTTCTGAGTATGGAAAAAATAACATTCAAGTGCCCTCTTATCAGCAGATTAAAAAAATAAATCATCTCAATTTATGGGACCACAAAAGTAAACGGAGTACTGACTCTCCTAACAAAGATCAAAAAAGTGCATCTCAAACCTGTAACATGCCAAACATTTGAGTTCTTGGAATCGATTCTGAACCTTTGTGAATCGATTCTGAATCTTTATAAATAAGAATCCCAATTCAGACTTGAATCGTTATTTTTTTCAGCACCTCTATTGTATAGTCACTGTTGTTGAGACAGATCACTTTGAAAATGAAGTTGTTAAAGGTTCAGTTCACACATTTTAAAATGAACAAGTTCAGCTTATAGTTCATGAACCCTACATTTTTAACTAAGTTCAGTTCCAAAAACTAGTTTTTAGTTGTGTTTTTTTTTTCATTTAGTATGTTGCAGAGTGCTATTATCCTCTAAATTCTGGCATTTTCCGATTGTTGCGACCCGTTCAGTCCACATACCCAGCTGCAGTGTTTACCCCTAAAGTATATTCTCAATAACATGAGGGGAAACTTGCTGTTTGAATGGGATTCATAAAAAAGATGTACCTCAAAGTGTAAAACTTTAAACATGAATTTTCTTTAATTAGGTTGTCTTTCAATTAGGGATTGTAAGAATTTAATTTACATACTATTTAATGAACCATAAGACATGAGATTCCATAGTAAATATGAAATCAATCTTATGGATCTTTGAGTACTTTTAACCAGAAGATTGGAACTTTTTATTGCAGGGATTAAGTAACTACTTTGTATTAACTCAGAGACAAAAGAAGGAGTCAAGTTTTAAAAGTTAAAGATTTATTACTAAACGAATTAAAACTAGACTAACTTTAAACACTAAATGTATGGTGTAACTAAGGTGAAGTGAGACGAAGAATGGTGTAGTGTGGAATGTTGTTCAGAACCAGCAAATCCGGAGAAACAAATAGTTCTGATGGGAGTGAAGGGGAT